TCTCTCGACTCTGGTCAGGGGCTAGAGCCATCTCTCGACTCTGGTCAGGGGCTAGAGCCTCAGCGAATCGTCTCTTCTTCCTCATCTTCTTTTGAGTTTAGAGAGGATGCTGCAGCTATCGTAGGACTTGAGAGTGATGCGGCCGGTGGGCTTGAGAGTGGCGTGGCTGCTGTTTCTGGGCTTGAGGGTGGAGCGGCCGCTATTTCTGGGCTGAGGACTAGACAGGAACTTGGGACTGGAGACAGAGGAAGGGATGTGGATTTCAGCGCTTACCTGACAGATTAGAATGTTGGATCAGCAAATTTAGCCCCCAGGTCAGCGCTATTCGAAGTCCATTTGCGAGCTCGGGGAAACACAGGAGGAACTGGGTGATCAAAACCATTGGTTAGGCATGTGGTGGGTCCCGGCGTTGGGTGAGCTGGAGAGGCGAAGTGTGTTTCAGAGGGGGCTGGATGAGGATGGTTCAAATTTTCCTTAACATCTTCTACTTCTTCTACTTCAAAATTTGAACCATTTAAATACAGGATGAGATTAATCAACTTGACCAAAGAGAATTCACTGGCAGGAAGATTACAGCATATCATTTCCTCATCCAGACCCAACTGAAAACAAGCACCGAGTGAATCATCATGCCAGCTCACCCGATGGGAAAGCTTGAGGAATTCCTCCACATACATTTCCAAAGGCCGACCACCTTGCCGCAGGCACCACAGCTGGTCTTCAGCCCGGTTAATCTTTGTGGGTCCGGTGTTCTGTCACTATACTACTGTGTAGGAGCACAGAGACGAAGGAGATTTATCTTCACAATCTTTAATAAACCAAACAGCAGAGCACAGGGTAGGCAGGAGACACACGTAGCACATAACATTGAGGTAACACTGCTTATTCACCACATCTCCCATCAAATGACAGTGACGTTTATATTTTACTGCTTACAGTAATTGCTCGGCAGTAAAGCCATTCAAACCAGATTTTTGTTTTATGTCTGCGGTAATTATCATTAAGTCATTAAGTCATCATCTATGTCTATCAGATAGTGCCACCTTGAGGAATAAAGGTGAATTGCACATATTGAGTCTTTAAATATTAATAATGACTGGAAGTGAAGTGGAGAGAGAGGGGATAAAGTTTGAAAACATATAAAGACTTTTTTCTACATTATGCTCTCTCTAGATATTCAACTAATGTGTTAGCTACTTTCATTTTTGAAGTGATGGCATCCTGACTGTGTAAATTGTGAATAAAGCAGATCTCCTTTTATGAATACTGTCAAGTTTATGTCCAAATGAAACGATCTTGGGATATTCTCTTGCTCTCTGTATTTGCCGCCCTGTATGTATTTCTATAGCCACAGCCATATCACCCTGCAGCCCAAGACTGGTTGCCCACTGAAGCTAAGCAGGGTTGAGCCTGGTCAGTACCTGGATGGGAGACCTCCTGGGAAAATTAGGTTGTTGTTGGTAGAGGTGTTAGTGAGGCCAGCAGGGGGTGCTCACCCTGTGGTCTGTGTGGGTCCTAACACCCCAATATAGTGATGGGGACACTATACTGTCAAAAAGCACCGTCCTTCGGATGAGACATTAAACTGAGGTCCTGACTATGTGTGGTCATTAAAAATCTCATGGCACTTCTCGTAAAGTGTAGGCAGGGCTGGATTGGTAATTAGGCGTACTGGGCATTTTCCCGGTGGGCCGACAGAATGTTTTTTTTTTTTTTTTGCCGAGGACCATCATGCACGGACAGCGAGCAGTCAGTGGCCCATTGGTTTGTCTCCTGTATTGGCAGCGTAAACATCCAACCACAATGCGCTATAGACGGAGTGATTAAGTATTTTGCTCCGCCTATATGTGGGCCAAAGAGCAAGGCAGGAGGAGAAGAAGAGAGTAGTTGTATCTGTACAGTAGAGTAGTATCTGTAAAGTGCTTGATAGGGACTCGCAACGGAGGTAGGCATCTAACCTGTGCTAATGTGTGTGCGCACCATGAGTGTAGAATACGTAAACACTTTTCAATAAAACGTAAATTCGTCCCCCGCGATTTTTTGTCCAAGTCAAGTCAAGTGTGTTCATAGAGGTTTCCATGGGCCAATGCGAATAAAGCTAGATTGAAATAAAAACAGACATGATATTGTCGGACCTGAGGTTTTATTCTTATCCAAAACAAGATGTGATATGAGGGTGATACATAGGCTACATACATACACTACCAGTCAAAATCTGTCCCAGTCCAGCCCTGAGTGTAGGGGTGTAACCCCGGTGTCCTGGCCAAATTGCCTCCACTGGCCCTTGTTTTTGCGTATAGCAAAAATGGCCTCCTAAAAATCCCCATCCACTTGATTGGCTCTATCTCCTCTCCACCTGTAGCTGGTGTGTGGTGAGAGCACTGGCGCCGTTGTCCTGTGGCTGCCGTCACATTATCCAGGTGGATGCTGCACACTGGTGGTGGTTGAGGAGAGACCCCCCCCACACATGATTGTAAAGCGCTTTGGGTGTACAGCAATACACAATAAAGCACTATATAAATGCATAATTCATTCATTCATTTCTGTGCCATGAACCACACAGACTCGGATCACTGGTGCCATTAGTTCTGTGTCTTGCATTTTGTTTACCAATTTATGTTGCAATGATTTATTTAAAAAAATATATATTTAATTACAGTTATTATAAAGTCAAGTCGAGTCATGTCTCAAGTCATTGACTCTCAAGTCCAAGTCAAGTCAAATGACAAGTCCTTAAATTTGCAACTCGAATCAACTCATGTGGCTCGAGTCTCCCACCTCTGCCCCAAGGGTCTAAATTTATCTTTTTTCTTCTAAATAAAAACTTGAATTTTTACTCCACAAATCCCTCAGTAACAAAGAGACACACACCAAAAAAATAAATAAACAAAAATAAATAAATAAACAAACAAACACTAATAAAAAGATAATACAATGTCATAGATCAGTGTTTCTTAATTCCAGTCCTTGTGTACCACCTCTCTGCATATTTTGCATGACTGTTTTATTTAACGCACCTGATTCAGATAACTAGCTTGTTAGAAGAGAGTTCCATGCATAAACATGAAGAACGTTATCAACATAACTGATATTCGCAATTGTAAGCAAAGGTTTTATGTTTCATATATCTGCATATAGCCTATATCACATATTGGTTTTGGTTTTTCTTTTTGAATGACAAATATATACTATTGATAGCTGCTGATATAGACTATAGTTAATTCCATACACATAGGCAAAGCAGGACCGGTTCCAGACATTTGGAGGCCCTAGGCAAAATTCATGTTGGAGGCCCCCCACCCCTAATAAAAAGCACTTGAAACAAATATGATTCCTAACCTTTTTATTTATACAACATTTCATTTAACATTTTGTAAATTTGTGACCCATGCTGGCAAAGTGTTTAGAAATTAAAAAAAATAAATCTTTACTATCACTTTTTATCTATTTAACACATCCTTGCTGAATATTAGTTTTTTTTTCAGTATTTTTTGATCAAATAAAGGCAGGCTTGATGAGCATGAGATACTTCTTTCAAAAACATTCAAAATAGTAATGTGTCCACATTTTTGACTGGTACTGTATGCACGGGTGTATATTAATCAAACTTTATCTAAGGTAATCTTTATGGCGTCAAATGTAAAACAAAAACTCGACTTTACGCAGACGCATTTCATATGAAAGTTATTGTCCCAATGTGATATAAAAGTAGATTCATTGCATCGCTAATGTCATATTGTCGTTCAGCATGTGTGTAAAGCCTACAGCTTTTTCCATGTGTAAAAAAATATTTTATGCAACTATTTGCAACACTTTTAGTTCAGTTTGATATTACTTACAGGTGTATCTGAATCATTTGAGCACTTTTTAAAACTTTAAATGATGTGTCTAAGATAAAATGGCTAAAATCTATACAGTTATACAAGTTAAAGCAATTGTAAGTGAATAAGTAATGCTGACAGTGAACCACACACCAAAGTTGACATTTAGCTTTATAATATAATCTTAAATGTAATTTATGTTTATATTATGACTTAAAATAAACTTTTTTTTTACTGCTCTAAAATGTTTGGTTTATATTTTGTCCATTGTTGCTTTATAATAATGTTATTTGCAGGTAGTATGAAATTATGTATCATTAAGTGTGATAAGGAACTATTATATACACAAATTCTGGAATAGAATAAATTAGAATAAATCAGATATATTCATCTATAGATATTTTGCTTAAATATCAAGCATCTTGTCAGATTTACTATGTAAAATGCTCAGTGTGCAGTCCACAATGTATTTCTAAAATTGTTTTTATGAATGTTCAGTCTCTTGAACGTGCTGAATTCATTTAATAATTTAATTATATTCCCTTTCATATTATTTGTAGGTAAGTCATGGAAAGCTTTACCAATAGTGGACAAACGTCCATTTGTTGAGGAGGCGGAACGTCTCAGAGTGAAACATATGCAAGACCACCCAAACTACAAATATCGGCCACGGCGTCGTAAAAAGGTGAAACGACATAAACGACTGGACTCCAGCTTTGTGCTTCATGGGGAGGGGGATGCTCAGAACCCTCTGGGCATGGAGGGCATGAGTGTTGGATATTCAGAACTGCCCCAAGCTAGGCTGCCTCTATACTGTGAGACCCAGACTTTGTTTGAGCCCTACAGTTTGCCTCCACCCGACCCCTCTTCTATGGACGAGTTTTTTGCCCATCTTCAGGACAATCACCATCAGTCAGCATACAACTACCATAACCACCAAGAGCAACACTTTCAGGAAAACACAAACATTCTCAGCAACATGCATGGTCATACTAACATGAAATCACTCACAAACGCACATTTTCACAGCATTACTCACTGCAACATCAACACACACACCGATCCTAACTCACACACTTCCAGCAATACACCGTTTAATATAATGAACAATGCTCACCCACAGCAATCTCTTAATGAGAGTACCAAACCACAAACCAGTCACAGTTCTGGTACTCATCTTAATTCCCTCACCCACCCGATATCTCACACCATCATTAACAAAAGCTCTTCTTCTCATCAAGCCATGCCTCCTGATTACCTGAATTGTCCTTCAACTTTAGATGACCATTATTGGTCCAACTCTCAGTTGAAGCGTCCTTATGAGGAATTGTCACTGCCTGTTGACCGTCACACATATAAGCACAGCATTCCTGAGCCACACTCACAGGCCCCTGCAGCAGCTCAGATTCAAGGTTCTAGTGAAATGGTGGATGAAGTGGAGTTTGACCAATGCCTCGCTTATGGGGTCCCCCATGTACCTTTGCAGGGGTCCAACCTAATCTCAACTGTACTATCTGATGCTAGCACTGCTGTGTACTACTGTGGCTATAGTAATTACTGAGGAGATGTTATGTTCTTTTTGATAAAACCTGAATCACACATATTTTCATTGTAACCCCAGACACTGATTATTTTCTGTGTTCAATCAATGAAAATTTAATGACACACCCCTTTAACCAATAGAGCTGTCTAATTGAAATTGCAGGGGAATAAAAATATGTTTTCAAATATGTTTAACTTTTTGTAGTTGCTTAATGTCTTTAAAAATGGCAATATTAAATCATAATTTGAGTTTTGCGGATTTTCGTCCATGTTTGTTAGCTTTGAGGCCATCTATATGCTAGTATATACTGTATACTTTAGCAGTAGCACATTCAAAATTCATTATTTTTTTTCCCTGTGAAAAAGTTCAAAAATACTTATGACATATCTTGCTCACGGGGCAAATAAAAATGTTGGTCCAATACTCTCTAGAAAGACAATGTCCTTCCTAATTCCTTCCGCCAAACTGCAAGCAGCAAAATATTGGTTCATGGCTGTGGTAGGACAAGCCCAACCTGTATCTCCCATCCAATGCACAGGATACAGGAATGAAAACTGTGCTTATAAAGCTATTTCATGGAGTCTTTAAATAAGAAAACTGTAAATATTGTCAGCATAAAATGAGATGTATAGAAATACCCTTACAGAGTCTCTATTACTTTTTATATTATTATTACATTTTTGAGGATAAACAAGAAAGAAGGAAGGAAAGCATAGTACAATTTCCCCTTGAGTCAAAGTCTCAGTCGAGGAACCACTGCAAACTTGTCAGTCATTCACTGCTTATCTCATTATTATATACAGCTCAACCCTCTATTGACTTAAATATGATCAGAATCTTTTACTAAACAAAAACCAATATTAATGCTAGCAAGAATGTGAGCTAACAGTCTCAAAGTATGCAAGCACAATATAGTCGAAAAATAGGAATTGTGAAAGCAACATGCACTGCTTCACAAAAATAGCAAATACAGTTATCTAGGAAATTGATCTTGCTTAGAGTTATCAGAATATTTAATGAAGTTCTCCGTAATGTTTCATGCAAGTATCAACTCTGTCTTCCATGTTCCTCCTAAAATGTATTTATATAAAAAACATGACTTTTGATTTCATACTTTGTTGTAGTTGACATACCTTAGAACAGATTGGGATATTGTTGTTATGAAACTTCAGTGGAAGCATGGAAAGCACAGGTCTCCATTTGATCTCCATTTAATCTAATAGATGTCAAGGAAGAACATTTGAAATAATGGTAAGATTTTTATATATTTTTTAATTCCATGGGGTTGGAACAAAGTCCAAAAGACCCACACATTTGAGTGTTTTTATAAATTACATTTTTGAAAGGAAGACAGTCTTTGGAACAGACCACTTACATTGACACCGTGACCTCTTCTCATGCGTCTGACAGCAACATGTATGAATCAGTGACATTCACACACACACACACACACGCGCACGCGCGCGCACACACACACACACACACTCACTGAGGTTTCAATGTTTTATTGGGACATTCCATAGGCATAATGTTTTTTTTATACTGTACAAACTGTATTTTATATCCCCTTACCCTAACTCTACTCCTAAACCTACCCCTCACACAAAACGTTCTGTATTAGTAGATTTTCAAAAAACGTCATTCTGTATGATTTATGAGCTTGTTTCCTCACTGGAATTACTATTACTGCTATTACTATACTTGTGGGGACATTTGGTCCCCATATACCAGGAAATACCAGGTACACACACACATTGAATATCTATACGCAATGTCTGTACTCTGTGTTTGTATATTTGTATGACAAAATACCTAAAAACTAATAAAAGCCACACATCACAAGTTTCATTTGTGAGTTTGCATGCATTTACTGCTTTCATTCAAGCTTTAAGGCAGAGAGGCACAATGTCTATGAGAAGCAGCTGCAATCGATGGGATGTCTCCTGTCTGACAAGGAATGTGCCTTTATGTGTGTGTGTGTGTGTGTGTGTGTGTGTCCGTGTGACAGGAATTTATAATCCTTGAAATATGTGTCTCCTCCCTGGCCTTATCACTTTCATAGGCACGGCTTTCCCAAACCCACTCCAGTTGTGCTGCTTCTAAATATAGACTCACACTGCATAGTAGCTCTATGCAATGACACAATAAGCTATTTTTCACTGATTTGACCCTTAGAAGTATAAATATATCTGTCACACATGAATTATTTTGTTACTGGTTTTGTTACTTGAAGTAAGTCTCTAAATGTGACCTATTTTAACAGGAATACAGATTAAAATTAATTTATCAGAAGCCTTATTGTGAAATCTGTTTTTCTGTCCATTTATACATTAACTTAATATATTAATTGTCCCAACTAAAACAAGCCTGATTTTCTATATTCATGCCCCTCTTTTTTTCTCAATGTCAGTGTCCCGTGTCTATTTCTTCAGTGTCAAGTGTCTAGACTAGGGTTGCCCAGCCATGGGCCACTTGTTTTGGTTAAGTCCTAATTAAGTATATATTAAGTATTAAGTTAAGGCTGTAGACTGGGATCCTACAGTTAACCTCGTTTTTCAGAAAGGTAAGCCCAAGTCAGAAGCATCACATAAGCATGCTTCTGAATCATAACATTAGGGTCACGTCCAACTTATATTGTGATTTTCTGTACCTTTCTCTTGTAATAGTATCTAAACCAGTTCAGTACAGACTTTCCTCCATCTCGTCCATTCTGCTTTTCACTTCCTGCCCTCTAGCTGAGTTTCATGTGTCATGAGTATTATGTGACTGCAAACAAGCTATACAGAATCCTTTAAAGCAGCTTTACTGTAATAAACAGAAAAAAACAGCATCAGTGTCACAAAGTTCTTTATTTTAGGAATCAATAATTTCAGTTATAATTACAACGTTAATATAAATATAAAGCAGCTATACAGAATATCATAGTGTCATTAAGGTTAATTATTCAGCAACCTCTTTCAATAGTTTCAAGTACTACTAAATGAATGAATTTGACTGAATATTACCTTTAAGCACCCACTGAGCGCAAGAACAAAAGGAATAAAAGTAGAGGAGCAGAAGTCTTATTAATGGGTGTCTGCGCTACAATCTTTGCTAGTTGTTTTGGTCTGTGTTGTGGTCTTAGCTGCCGATAGAGGGGCTGAATTGAGGCCTTTCAGTATCTGTAGTATCTACCGGTATACTATATCAGGATGAATTTGAGTCAAATGTCTAAAATCCATCTCACAAGCAGTGGCACCTCCAGGCTTTTTTGACTGGGGTAGCCCATGTGGGACACAGACTTATTCAAGGGTAGAATAAACCTGCAAAGGTTATTCTTTAAAGATATTTTGTACTGCTTATTAAAAAACAAACCAAATAAACAGATACAGAATAAACTTTAAAAGACTTGAACTTGAACATAAACAGACTTAGTCAAAAATAATCAATAGTGGGTTACCCTATTACTTTCTTGTACTCAAGTAAATCTTTGAATTACTTTTACTTGAGTAAAAGTAAGAAAGTAATAGATTTCTAATGTAATTAAGTATTGAATTATATTTAATATGAAACATAGTGCAGTAAAAAGTAAAATTTTATGCTTTGGAATGTTGTGATGTAAAGTTTTCTGAAGAAAAACACTCTCAGACACCTGAAAAGTACTTTTACAGCAGAGTAAAAATACTTCACTACTGTCCGCCTCTGCCTGAGACTAATGAAACATTTACAAAACACAATACACATTGATCACAGCCAATGAGAACATGACACATAAAACAATATGGTTGGTATGGACATAAGGTATGTTCAACACGTAGCAGCTCTGCGCAGACCAATCAGTCACCGTTGCACTACTTTTATGTAATATACAGATCAATCTGTGCTAACGTGTGGTTAACAGGGACTCACATGACAATTTCCAACATAAAAGTCATGAAAACACAAAACCATAAAAACAAGAAATGTCAACAAAAGAATAATCAGACATGACAGAAGCTTAATTTAACTATTATCTAATACTGTATCTCTAATATTTTATTTACATCTAATCATTTAGCAAAAACTTTTATCCAAAGCGACTTATAACCTTATGACTTATGACTTACAAACAACAAATAGAAAAAACAATTTGAAATATAATGGAAAGTGCTAATATTAATGAGACAAATCCTGACCAAAAAAGATGCGGTTTTAGCCATTTCTTGAAAATTAGACAGGTCATTCCACCAGCAGGCAACAGTCAATGTAAAGGTCTGTGGTAGTGTTTAAGTGATTTTTTTATATTTTATATTTGGATGGCTCCACAATATCCCTACTATTTTAAGTCTAGTATCGATATCTTGTTGGTCACTTTCCTGCAGAGTAAAGTTTTAACTCCAATTCTAACAGAAGAAGCTAATCAAGTTTTTCAGGACTACCAAATATTTTGAGGCAGGTGTGTTGGGGCATACAGGAGACTAAATCTGCAGGATGTAGGCCCTCAATGCGAAGGATTGAACACCCATGTTATAGGTCAATTCAGGATATTATTCAGCTGATATTAAATATTTAATTGCGGACCTCTTTATTCAAAGTATAAAACTTTGCTTTGGTGTAGTTGCTAATGTAGAAAATGTCTCCAGGTTATGCATGTAACCATGGTTCCCCGAAGGGAACGAGACTCTGCGTCTCGGTGCCATACTTCCGGCATCCCTGTGAGCGCTTGCTTCATTCCTAGAAGCTGACGCCGGTTCCACCGCACATGCTTTTATAGCTTCCTGGTCATTACTTCACCCGCCCGTGACATCTCGCCCATCTATTGGACTGATTACACATGTGATTCAGAGTGTGGTCATGCTGAAAGCGTTCCCAAAACATTTCGACGCAGCATCTCATTCCCTTCGGGGAACCATGGTTACATGCGTAACCTGGAGACGTTCCCCTTCAGGAACTCGAGCTGCGTCGAAACGCTATGGGAATGAGAATGCCCACGCCACCAGCCTTACAAATCCCTGCCCAGTGTGGAAGCCAGGGCGAGAGAACAGAAGTGCCTGGAGTGGCTCGCATAACTAGGCCATAAAACCTGATGAACGTGAGGGGCATGGACCAACCCGCAGCATTGCAGATGTCCTG